GGGACTAGGGAGCCTACACTCATGCTCTCTAGAATGTAGTGTGGTCCCTGCTGCCTCTCCCCAGTCCATTCCTAGGACTATATCGAAAGGGAGGCTGTCTTCTACGAGAAAGAGTCAAGGAATGGGGAACTTTCTCCACTTTCCCATCTTTCTCTAGGCGAAAGTACGCCTGGACTCCCTCAACATCCTGGACTCGCTTAGTGCGATTGTCTGCGAGGATACTGACTCTAGGGTCTTTTAGCTTTTGGACTTTTAAATTCAACTTTAACTTTTGCAGCGCTTTCCTACTGATATAGCTGTGGGTGGCCCCACTGTCTATAAGGGCCCCTACTCTACCTCTGAAAATTTCTACATCTACTAACACTAGCAGTCCTTTGGCATCCTTCTTCATCTTGACCCTGGCAGGGCATCCTCTCCTTCAACTCTTCAGCCACACCTGTGAGGGAAGTACCTAGAGAGACTCTCACACAAGTAGTCTTTGGACAGCTGTCTAGGTACTGGCCAGCAACGTCTGCCGTAGGCTCACGTGGTTTGGGAGTTCCTCTGTGGTGCGCACACTCTTCTCCACATGGCCTAGTGGTAAGGGCAGGTGCGACCCCTACCGACGGTTGCATTTTGCTACCTGTGCAGCATACCGGGCTTCTCTATAATTTGGGCAGAACTTGATGATATGACCACGATCACCGCAATAGATGCATTGATCCTGATCAATTCGCCTTTGCCATACGGACTGCTCTAAGCCGAAATCTTCCCTGGGCCTGCCTTGCAGCAAGCCTGGGTGCCATCCACCTCTTCTTGGAGGTGACCGATAAGATCGTGAGCGATTTGGCGGGGGACCTTGACCCCTACCTCCCTCTTGGCGATTTCCCCTGCCGCCAACCCCCTGAGCGCCCTGTCATCGACCACCCCGCCCCCCTTGGCCCTGGCCTCCTCCTCTTCCTTACGGCCTCCCTCCAGCCGCGACAACAGCGTAGGTCCTCCCCTGAACCCCAGTACTGTCCCCCTCATCTAGGCCCCACTCTATCTGACTATATGGGATCTCATCTGTACCACTTTCATCTAACGTAAGGATTAGATGATCCTTTCCCTTTACCTGACCTGAGATGGTACGACCTTTCCACTTTTTGCCTTTGTTTAAGTCCTTGTGCCAGAAAGTGGAAACTGGCATGGACTGGGCCTCGAACACCACCACCTCTCTACTCAACGTATTATATGTCATGGTGGGTTGTCGGCTCTTCTCAAAGAAGTGCCCACGTAGGGGCTCTGGCATGGCGTGATAGAAGAGATTGACCAACGGAGGCTCAGTGACCCCGTGGTCTGGGACGGCTACCAACTCGTCCATTACGCCTTTGAGTGCTTTGGCACTCCTCCACTGGCGTGAGTGGATAGTTTGCAGTTTGTTAGAGGCCCTGACGCCTCGCGTGACATCTGCAAATCACTCCTTAAGGAGTCGAAAGAAATCAGGGAGAGGGGTGATCTTAGAATAGGCGACCATATCGTTCTCACACTGTGCAGTGCGGGCGAGCGATCGAGCGAAGCTTACTGCTTCGTCCTTGAGGGCCTGGAAGGCAATGAGGACTTGTTCCTCAAGCACGATATGTTGTAAATAGACGTACGTATTAACGTTCGCCACGGAGTTATCGAAATTTTCTTCCTTTTTCCCACTGTAGGGTTCAGGAAACTTGATCTTAACGGGCTCCCTGCGGGGACATACTTCCTCCTCCTTTGAAATGGCCAGCTTTGCGCCCTCAATGGCGACGGTGCAAAACTTCACAGTGCCTTCTATCGTCTCCTTCATTTCTGCACCCATCTGCAACATCATCTCGCGTGCAAAGTCTCTAAACCCCAGATGGATGGAGTTTAAAGTGATGTTTTGGGCTCAAGCAAACTGATGTTGCTCGTCCCAGGCTCTGGCTAGGAGTTCTATATTTCTTGACATAACATCTAATTTCCCTTGTATATGTGCTTGCGCCTGCATCTTCTCCCTCTGTGCCTTTATCACCTCCAACTCCCTCGCCATGTTGCTAGCCTCATCATTCCTCCTCTTCTTCTCCCTAGTGAGACGCAATTTCCACTGTAACTTCTTCTCCTCTTCTATAGTATGACGTCTCTAACGGTCCTTTTCTGGTTCCCACTCCCTGATTACTGCTTCCTTTTCCTCTGGGGGGACATACAACATGGCCTCTCCCAGAGATAAATTAGCTACCCACTCTGAGATCTTATTCTCCATCCATGCATCCTCGTTCTTGGTGCCAATGGACTCCCCTCTCTGCCCTGCGCTCCTTCTAAACAAGGGTTCTTCCTTTTCCTCCTCCTCTTATATCTCTTCCTCGTCCACAACTTTCATCCTTTCTTCCTCCTCCTTCTTCAATCTCTCCATCTCTTCCTCTAACTTCTTCCTCTTCGCCGCTTGCTTCTCCTGTAGGGCCAACTTTTTGGTCTGTCTAATTAACTCCTTAGTCTCTTTCTCTTCTCTCCTGCAATATGGCGGCGGCTTGCTCTTCCCGAGCTTTTGTGTAAGGGGTGGTACTCTTGCCACTACGCAGGTCAACCATGGTGAAAGTTGCACAACCAAGAGTCAGTTCCACTCCTCACCATTTAGACTCAACCCCTGACTGACTTAAGTCTGACTCTATCTAAGGACCACAAAATCTTAGCAAGATCTTGTCAACTAGGGTCTCTAGCCTGGATCTAAACTAAGGCTGTCACTACAGGACTTACTGCTGATCAGGAGGCATTTAAGGAGATCCCTCATAACTCCTCAGGTATTCTTTAACGTCGCAAACAGGACGATGTGATCAGCAAGACCTCTCAAGACGTAGACAACTTGTTTTGCAGCCCACAACTCGGATTTGGGCCTCCTATGCCACACCGAGCAGCCCGCCGGTCTGTACCGGTCCTTGGGAGGGTTCTTGTCCTCCGGGTTAGTCGAGTCGTCAGACACAGCCTTTAGCCCAACTCAGCCCGTGTGGTTTGGTCAACAAAGCTCTATGACCACATACACTGAGTTCCCATCACCTGGACGGAAGAGACTCAATGCAGAAAGAAGAGACAGACAAACTCAGCAAGTACCATGGGGTGAGTGCACATCCATAGGGCGAGGGGATAGGCTGAAGGCTTGGCGAGAATATACCAACTCCAGCTTGGTCAAATTCGTGGTCCACAGCTCTGGTCAACGCCAGTCAAACCGCGAGTCAACACCCTGGTCAACCTCGGTCAACACTTTGGTCAATGCCTGAGTCAATGCCCAAGTCAACTTCGGTCAACTCCTTGGTCAACGCGTTAATCAACACTCAACTTAGCTATGGTTGCCAACACTTTCTCTTTCTCGCACCCTCGCTTCTCTTTCTCCCTCCTTTCTTCTTCCTCACTTCTATCTCTCTTCACCCCGGCTATGTCTTCCTTCTTCTTCGTCTTCTTCTTCATCTCCCCTTTCTTCTTCCTCAGTTATGGTTTCTCTCTCCTTCGTCCCTCCTTCCTTCTCCTTCACTTCACCTTTCTCTCTCTTGGTAACCCTGTGTCCGAGCTCCGCGGCTATGGCCGCTTTCTCCTTGGTCCGCACAACAATCTTGTATTGCTGCTCTCTCTCTCTCTCTCTCTCTCTCTCTCTCTCTCTCTCTC